CTATATATACACATACAGTATATATAAAATCACCAAGGGCCTCATATGTAAAGCAGCAGGTTAGTCTTACTTAAAGAAAAACACCAGAAGCAAATATTAACCCTTGCAGTGGGGATCGGATACACCTGCACTGAAAGGGCTAACTGCTCATTTTTGTCTAGGATAAAAAAGTTATACTCACCTGAACTGTGGAGCAGGCTCTTAAACTGGTCCTTGCAGCCTTTCTTCCTCTCCTCTGCAGCAGTCTAAGGTCCCATTAATCACCATGTTCTATACATTGTGTATAGATGTCAGGACCTCGAGGAACATTTTAATGCTGCAGTGTAGGAGACAGGATGGAAGGAATGCTGTGACAGCTGGCCTGCCCAGCATTGTGAGTATAACTTTGTTATTTTGAACCTAGACAAGTATGAGCACTTAACCCTTGCAGTTCTGGGGTAGCCCCTCTGCAAGAGTTAATACATTTTTTGCCCAAAGTTCTTTTGAAAAAAAAAAATACATGTTTTATAAGCATACTTTACAAATGTTCATCAGGCTCTACTTGCTTTAGGACTCAGAAGCAACCTTGTATAGTCCTTTTACACTAGCTGTGTGGTAAAATGCAGTGGTGTATTCATTGTTAATTGCAAGGCACTTTTTACTTTTTCCATTTTTTTTACTTTGTTTGGCAAATACAAACTGTACACTTGATTTAGGTCCCTGCACAGCAGCTCTGTGTACTGTGGTGTGGTGACCTGCAGTGTGGTCCATTGTGCTGTGAGAAAATTCAGTTACAGAAAAATGCCTGTCACCGCTAAAGTGTGAACAAACCTTTAACCAGTGTAAGTGTACACCTATCATAATAAAGCCAGGCATACATGGTTCTATTTTTGTTGACTCAACCTGTGCATTGAGCCAAGAAATAGAACAGATTCCTCCATCAATGCTTATGGGCATTGATGGAGGTATCTCCTGCTGCTTTAATTGTATTCAGAATACCCAAACAGAGTTTGCAGCTAATTGGATGCTAGCTCCATTCAGCTGAGAATTTTCCAACCTTCTCCTTCAATAAGCTGATTGAGGGATGTTGGGCAGAAGGGTGCCAACAGTGACATCCACAAGGAATTTCGGCTGGTTTGAGATCCAGTCAAAATTTGCTGTGTGTATAGCTTACTTAACACCAAATAATTCTTGGTCATTTTAAGAGAACCTGTATTTGAAGGTACATAAGTAATGTTTGCATACTCGACATGTCAATAATAGAAAAAATTACACATTCTTAAAGGGTTAATATTGATATTCATACATATTTACAAGTGTGGCAATCTTAGTTCCATATATATAGGGTACAGTTTTCAAAGGCTAAGTTTTGCTTACTAAAACTTTCAAAATGGGGACAAAAATAACAAAAAAGAGAGTATTGGCTACTTTTCCTACTTGGCCTTTGCTGGATAATATTTCCAATGCTATAGGTTCTCCTTAAGGTACTAGCAAATGAAATAGTTACTGTTATTAAGACTAGACATGAGTGAAATGATTCACACATTGGTCACACCTGGCTTATCCAGTATCAATGTATTTTTTTACAAAAATCAATTTTTTAATTTGTCTGAAAAAGGTTATAAATCCAATCATTCAGTATGGAAGCTGATTACCTGTCTAATTATTTTCTACTATATGATATCATGACCTACATATTATGACCTATATAATTCACAATAGTGTTCCTTATCTGTTCAAAACATGAATAAAATGTTGGACAGTTTGTTAACGTTTTCTCTGATATGAGGCTATTTGAGTAACTTTGACTATCAGTAATTACAGACAAGAGAAGAGTTCCCAAAGGCTGTCTGCTGTGCCCTTCAGTAAAATCCAATCTTTACAGAAGCATGTCTTTCATCAGTAGCAGCAAAGTTTCTCCAAGTGGTGTTAAACATAAGATAAAAACCTGGGGCATATTTTTAGAGCAGTGAATGATTGATTTGCTGATGATTTGCTGCTTTTTCATCACATTTAAAAACTTGCCACATGTATTTGCTCTGTGTACTTAACTGCATGTTTACCTAATGGAACCAAAAGTTGAGGTCTCAGTATCATCATCCTTATTTATAACATTGTCAAGGTTACATTCCCGGGCATTGATCAGAAAACATGCATAGATTTGAATGTCAATATTCCTTCCAATATAATATAATATTATAATATTTAAATATGGACTGCTTACTTTGAAAAAATTCATAGTGGCTCCGTCAAGAACTGTACCATACTCTATCTTTGTTTGCCTTGCCAAGTCATCTGCAGAATCAATAGCCGTCTCCATTCTTTCCACTGTAAGAAAGGCAGCAAGGTTGGCGGTGTAGGATGATATGATGATAAGGGTAAAAAACCACCAAATACCACCAATAATTCTTGTTGACAAAGCTTTGGGCATCAGCTCAGATCCTAAAATAGAAGACAAATATGCCATTTCTTTACATTTTACATTTTAATCTCCAAGCAGATTTAGAAAGACCATTTAATGCAGTTATGTGTTAATTAAAAATCAAAAATATATCTTTACATAGAACTAGCATATGTACCTGAATATGTCTGCATGTAAGCTTCCTGTAATCCCTTCTAAAGTAACACTCTGACTGGGAGAAAGGGATGAAGCACTATTAGCTAATGAGAGCTATATTATTCTGCAGAAAACATGCATACAGGGGAGGGGGAAAGGAGAGGGTGGGGTGCGCACATGGATGACCTCATCAGTGTGCTTCTGCTGCTACATTGTCTAGTCACAGGATGGGGAAGTTCCTTGATCAGCAGGCTGTAATACTTAGCATGAGTGTGAATTAATGCAAGTTAGGTGATTTAGCTGTGCTGTCTAGATCACAAGACCAATGAACAGAATCACAAATATTTACAGTTTACAGATATTGATGTCAACTATAAATGTAGCTGTTTGCTTAAAGTTCAGTATTGGTATTACTCTCTGTTGACTACCTTTCTAGGACAAAGATGACATTGTGTGTTAGACCAGCCTTTTGGCCTTAAAGTGCCTTAAAAAATTTCACAGAGCATCATGCTTCTAAGTTGAAGAGGGCTCCTGATGTGAAGGGTGGGCTCCTAATGTGAATGACAGAGACTCTGATTTAAAAGTGAAACCTAATGTGAAGAAGGGGTCCTGATGTAAAGGAGGACTCTGATGTGAAAGGGGGGCTCCTAATCTAAAGATGGGAACCTCATATTTTTGTGTGTATTCCCCCATAAAGTCCATACCAAAACCCTATTGCAGATTAGGGTCTGATAATAGATTTTGGAGGGACCAAACATAATTTTTTACATGTTTCCTTTTTAGACTGGGGTGCTTTGATATTTTGCATACTTTTAAATGGTGCCAGGACTGGAAAAAAGGTTCGGAAATGCTGTGTTAGATCATCTTTGATTTTTAGATTTTCTAAGTGACTTTAAAATCAACTAATTGAAATAATGCAGCACAATTTTAATGTATAAGGTCAACAAACCTAGAGCTTAATATGGGCCACCAATCTGGTCAAGTGTGCAGTTAGTGGGAACAAATCATATTTAATCTTTTACCTATGTTGTTGATTTTAAGCAAGGACTGACATTAAAATGGGGCAATTGTAATACAAAAGTTTTTGAAACCAGTAGAAATTTGCAAAAAAACCCAAAATAAATTAGATTACAACTGTTATAATTACAATAAATAATATAAGTGCTAGTAGAAACTATTGTATTTTTGTTGTAAATGTAATATGTGCAACCTGGATAGTAGATTATGCTTCAGCTAAAAAAATAAAAAGATTTCCTTACCTTCAATAAAACTCTATTGACAAAGCTAGCCATAGATTTGAATTGTGAATGGGCATGGTGCATAATCACTGTACTGTGCTTCAAATTTGGATGCACAAAATACATATTACATTTATTAAAATGATAAATAAAAAGTTAAAGAGCATTTATGTTTCAAACCTAACTCCAGGTTAATATCTGTAATGCATTTAATACCTTCAATACCTGTAAATAAAAATGAACACAGCTTTTATTGCAATACTTACCCTTTGACCGGTGCTGTCCCCCGCAGAAACCCGGCTCCAAGGTCCTGCTGTCTTTTGTGAGTTAAAAGGAGCAAGACTTCACAGTAAAGGTACTCAATAGGATAAAGTTTAACTCCAGTAATGTAAAAATTAACATTTGCAGTGGGACTACGCCCGCACTGCAAGGGGCAACTGCTCGTTTTGGCCAAGGGGCCAGCATTGAGAAGATACACACACTGATCCTCGGTCCTGTGGCAGTGAGTGCTCACCCCCTGTTCTAGCTTTGGTAGGTCCCTTTGTGTCCTCATGCCTAATTCAAGTGAATGGACCTGCATTAGATGTGACGACATCAGCAGGGCTTAGACTGGTACTTTGGTGTAAAGTGAGAATGTGACTCACTGCCCTTTTTCCCATATTACAACAGTGGTGTCTGTCCACTTAGGTACCCAGTGTTGCTAAATGGGACTGGGAGAAGCTTATCAGCTCTGTGTGTCTTCACACACACACAGACACATCAAGGCAAGCCACTTCCCTGCTCCTCCTTCCTCGCTCTTCCCTTCTCCAACCTAGTAGATGGACTGCTGCTGCTGGAGACTGCTCTGTCCCTTGTGATCTTGTACTGGACAGGAAGTTTGTGGAAGCTGAGCTGTTTGGAATCATGATTTCTATAAGTGTTTGGACAAAAATTTAAAAAAATGTTTGCTGGTCTGTGTATATTTGTTTGATCTGGATATACTATTAAAAAAAATTGTGAGAGATTAATACTACTTGATGTGCTTGTTTTGTCTATGGGGCCCAAATAAAGCTGTTTTACTTACCTGATCCCGACTCCCACGGCAGTCAGCGCTCACCTCTCTCTCCATTTGCTCTGGCTAGAGAATGTCGCTCGGCATCCTCACGGCTAATGCAGGTCAATGGACCCACATAAGATGACATGAGATCAGTGGTCCTTAGAACTCTGGAGCCCAGGTGAGAAGATACTGTGGGAACCAGTCTAGAAGCTGGGATCAGGTAAGTAATTCTGCTTTATTCTAGTTCCTAGACCCAAACTAGCACTTAACCCTTGCAGTGTTGGGGTAGCCTGACTGCAAGAGTAATATATTTTTTTGCTCAGAGTGCTTCTTTAAACAGAGCTAATTCTTTCTCTTTGCTTCCAGCAGCAGAATAGAGTAGACAGTAGGTAGGTACAGCTGGGGAAGTTGGCAGTTAAGAAGACTTGTTCTTTCTCTTGCATGGCCTTACGTTGGGATTAATATAATGGCTAACATACAGGTATATATGCTTCTGCTGCAGGATTCCTCATGTCTTAGTCATGTTACCAAAAGTCTAGGCATGCCATCTTGTGATTTCTGCTGAAAAATCACATGGCCAAATATCTAGATTGTGATCATGTGATGCAGCAGGAAAAGTAAGCCCTTCTATTATTATTAGCAGATCTTATAGACTCCTAACAACTTTACATGAACATTTTAAGTATAGATGTGCTTTAAGTAATCATTATGCTTTAGTATATCCTTACTGCAGTTTTCAAATTCAAATTGTCAACTATAGAAAAACACAATGAGCAAAGTGATTATTTTATCTGCATCCTGTGAATTACCATTTGTTAGGTAGCACCTCTGTTACAATAGCACATACAAAGAATGTTTTTTGACAAGTGGTTATGTAATTGTTGGAGACAACGCTCTAATTGAGAAAAAAAATGTTGTTTGGTGACAGCAAACCGTGACAAACTTTTTCTCCAGTCCTTTGTGACAAGAAGGTGACAACATTACGTCTTATACTGCATTGCTCATTCTGACAAAAGCAGCTGTGTCTTGTATTTAGCAGCTGTCAAAAATAACAAATTTTTGGATATTCATTTGGTAGCAGTGAAAGAACAAAAAAATTATTAATAAAGTGGTCCACTTACCTTGCTGCATTAATGCCCCAACTGCAAACCAAAAGCTATTTAACAAGGTAAAATTATTCTCCACAATGTCGGTTCCTGGATTGCAAGGGTGAGCGTCATACCATTCGTAAGGGCTAAACCTATAGTAGAAAACATTGACAGCTAATTCAGACCTCATGGATACAAAACAAATGTAATTAAAGGGTATCTATACCCAAAACCAGTTTTTTTTTATGTTTTGGATACAATGGGGAAAGGTTGGAACTGTCAGGTTTGACTGCCATCTGAGACTCCATTAGACAGATTTAGCCTCACTTTCTGTGGATGACCTTTTACGAGACAGGAAGTGAGGAGAAATCTTCAATGGAGAAACAATAAAAAGCTGGCAGGGGTTCTAGCGTTCTCCTACATAACTGGGGAAAAAAGCATTTTAACTTCTGTCTGTTTTTGCTGATAGAGAGATTCCCCCCCATTTCCTGTCCTGGGAACCAGTTTTTTTTACCAGGCAGGAAGTGAAGGAATCTCTCCAATGCAACCAAGTACAGAAGTATTACTCTTTCCCCACTCTATTCAAAAACTAAAAAAAGGTTTGGCTATAAATACACTTTAAATATAAAGTATCAGCATAACTGTATCTAAAGCATTACTTCACCATTATGACAAACGTAATGTTAGAAGGTAAGCCAGTGAAACAAAACTCTGCATTTATTATATTCTGCCCACTACCTGACATGTGTGTCATGTCCACTTGGATATGTTTTAATATTTTTAACTTCCATGAGGATCTGTCTGCATCTGTCAAGACTCAATAGTTATATATGATGTTTAAAATGGGATATTAGTACAGACACACAATATTAAAGTGACACTAAACTAGTGTCCCCCGCGGACTCTACGGCCTCAGATGGCATATAGGACGGCCCTTTCTACAGCCGAGTGATACACAGATAAGCTATGTTTTTGTTAATAGGGTACTTGAATGCATTCTTAAGATTTAACTCCTGCGTTTAGTGTCACGTTAACGCAAATAATAAAAATATCTACAAGAATTAGTTGGTTGGTTGCAATATATAAAATTTTTGTTCTTGGGTTTAGATACACTTCATTTTTTTCCTGTACCTACTTGTCAAGCTTATGCTCACAGAAAATTGCTTGTTATACTGTATAATAAAAACAGTTTTAAACAGAGTGAGTATAAATGAAAGAGTTTGACTTTGTGTGTCTACTGGCCTCAGTTATGAAACCCTGACTTTGATACAGTAAATTTAAAGGAGAGTCCATCTTTCTCTTTCTGCAAAAATAGAAATGCCATGCCTGTTTCATAGCTATTCACAACTAAATGTAGAGCAGAAACGATATAACATATGCATGTACGGATATGATAGCCTTCTTATGTATACAACCTCTTAGTGCTTGCCATAGAAACTCTACAATTCTATTGATATTGATTTCTACATTGATTTTAGCAGGTTTTGTGAATTCTCTTTATGTTTGCAATTGTGTGAGACACAAAAGCCTTTATAGATTTTTGTAAGCATTTATTTAAGTAGCCTAAAACCAATATATTAGAACAGGACTGGAATAACCAAACAGGCTTATTCATGAAATCCATATACTATGTTATACACGAGGCAAATATTTTAAGAAAAAACAGTGGGTGTCCCACCAATATGAATATTAACATTAGCATCAAAAATTTCCTTGGGCAGTGGTCCCACTTTCTCCACAATATACAGGTATATAAAACAAGAAAAGCTTCTTTTGAGAAATTTGAGGGATCTAATATTCCAAAAAGATAACAACCATTAGTTTATTGTTATATCTGACATTTAAAAAAACACAAAAATCACACAATTACCAAGAGTTTACAAACCTAAGCAAATCTTAGGTATGGATACATAATCAATAAATCTATCAAAATATATACAACTACATATGAACAAATATCACCACATCTAAATTTTTTTGATTATACGTTCATATCCAAAAATATATATACAGTGTATAGATTGAACTGAAGACAACGGGACAATAATTGGAGGTAGTTGTAATGTCCCACTTCCAAGAGTAGTAGTCATAGTTATATTGAGCATCATACATTTCCATCCAAATTATTAATCAATTAAATCCATGAAGTGAAGTGTCTTGTATCAAGGTGCATAAGACAAATTGTTATCGAACAAATAGTGACCCCACTCTAGCAAGTGAGGATTTATAAGCTCCTTTTTTATATCTATGCACATGCAACTATTGCAAGCCCAAAGAGAAGCCCAGTGGATCTCTCCAAAACTGAAGATACTTGCAATAATCACATGGAGTAGGGCACAGTCATAAATGACCAGCTCACCATCACCATGACAATATACAATGAGATATGGTGCAAAATTGGATTTATGCGTTTGGTCCACTGTTCCACTCAGAAATCTGGAACAAGCCTGCTATAGTATATGCAGAGTCATCTTAGGCGATGTACATAAGAACATGAATTTGATTATTTTCATAATCATAGATATGAGCTTTTTGAACTAAGCAATGGCTTCTCTTCGCAACCCATATAGTGGCATCCCAAAAGGATCTCAACTTCACATATATAGTCCCAGTAAAATATTGGAGAAATCTCACCCATATTGGGGCAGATGTATATACACCACCCTACATCTTGAAAAATAAAACGCTGGAGAGTCCAAAAAGTGCCCACTTCCATTCCCCACTCAAACTCTTCTAAAGGGGAGGGGTGTGGTTATGTATCCACTACTGTTAGCCCAAGGCATCATGTTGGCATGTTTCAGCAATATCTGGCAACCTCTGAGGCAAGAAAAAAAACTTTTCTTGCAACTATATTAACCATATAGTACAATATGCAAATATGTAAATGCTTCTTATTATATGCAAATATGTAAAGACATGCAATTTAAAGCTTCACAAAATATCTCATAATAGTAATAAGTTGTTTGAGCTGGGTAGTCTAATTAAAGTAGTACCAGAGCCTTTTTTTGCACAACTTCACATCAGTATCTATCAGCTGATTACGGTAGGGTAATTCCTTTAAAAAAACTTTTTTTTAAAAATAAAAAACAAACACTTTTTTTGATATTATTTGGCTGCATCCTCTAGCTTCCTTTGCACTGCTTACCTGAACTACCTGTCAGGGTGTGCACACTAAAAACTTAATTTCTATTCATTACATTCATTGACACTACATGTCCCATCATGCCTAACGCTTATGCACATGTGTCCACTGTCATTTATTAAATTTTCCTGATCTGACCCTCAGAAAATCTGCCTCTGCTCCTCCTCGAGAGCTGCTGTCAATAATTTCAGTAGAATTATAAATAGCTAAAAAAATAAGCTTTAGTATCACTTCAAAATGAAAGGTGCGATGTTGAGTCCGAATAAGTTTATACATCTACAGAGGAATGGCATTTTAAGCCACCCAAAACCAATCTTTATATCACTGTAAAGAAGAGAAGCAAACTACTGCAGTTGTAAAATGAAAGAAAGCTCTTAGAGGTGATGGCACGTACTAGCAGCAACCTTCCAAACCTCCCTGCCATGGCCTATTGCCAAGTCATTCTGTTGCTCCACCACTTCTAGGCAGCTTGCTGCTAAGACTTACCCCCACACATCCCTATTGACAATGTTGGGAGGCCTCACTGGCTAATAGGAATGTGCAGGAGGCAGGAAGAGGTGAAAATTGCCTTTAGTTGTGGCCATGGCAAGATGATTTCAAAGACTGCTGCTAGTATGTGCGGGACCTGTATGTATATATATATATA